GAAAAAAGAGAGAGAGAGAGAAAGAGAGAGAGAAGATGCCCAGCGTGGATTGGCCGGTACTCCCTGCCCCGCTTTGTTGTTGTCGCCCGGGGCTCAGAGGCCAGGGAGCGGTAACGCCGGCTAATGGCTGTGTTAATTACACCCGGCAATTTCGCGGAATCAGGAAGATGGGGCGGACTCCGAGTGAACTTTTCCAAAAAGGAAAAGGAGGGTGGGGGGAAAGAAGGTAACTACCCAACACCGTTTGTGTAGAAAGTAGTTCTAGCCGGTGTATCTCCGAATCCCCGGTTGGAGCTGCACCCAGCCTCACCTCCGAGCTGGGGGTATCCCGGCGGCGCGTGTCAATCACTCCGAGCCCGGAGCTGGGGGCGGAGCTAGGTCTCCCAGCGTGAGCAACGCTGCAGCAGCCCCCGCCGCCCCCTGGCTCCCGGCAGCCTCTCAGCCGGGCCCTGCGCTCTGAGAGTGCCCTCTCCCCAATTCCTCGCTTTAGCCCTGGTTCATGGTCCCCAGCCCAGAGAATTGAAAACAGACTGTTTCTCAACAGCCGCCTCCTCCAACTTTGAACCCATTCTGAGGAGTATAAAGTAGTGTATCCTCTGTGCGGGGCTTTGACCTGACTTCCCGAGGAATGGAGGGGAGGCGCAAAGAGAATAAAGTACTCTATGTGTGTGTGTGTGTGTGTGTGTGTGTGCGCGCGCGCGCGCGCGAGTGTGTGTCTGTGTGTGTGAGAGAGAGGGAGAGGGAGAGAGATGAGAGGTAGAATGAGAGAAGGCGGATGGATTTTGGGGGGTGGGGTGCTTTTCATGGTCTCCGCTTCAGTGTAAGGTTTCGGGCAACCCTCAACTGATCTTAGATCACAGTCTGCAGAGACTCCAAGCGGAGTCGGAGAAATTTGGCCCCGTTTTAACAGGGCTGAGCAATGAGCTCCGGAGGTCAATAAAGCCCTCCAAAAATGATGAATGATTGAGCACCTGTGATGATGATAGTGATTACCAGAGCAATTAAACAGTTTGATTAAATGAGCCATCATAACAATGATGTCTGCGGGAAATCGGCCCTCAGTATAAAGAAAGATGGTGCAGAGGGGCTGGCAGAGGCGAGGGCAGTGCGACGTCCGGGAGCGGGGCCGCGGGCGGCGCGGCATTTGCCCGGGTGGCCCAAGCAGGGACTGCCGGGGGCGCGGAGCTTCGGGCAGGAAAGTCTAGCCCAGGTTTCCAGCGACTCTTAAGCCCGGCTTCTAGCCTGCAAAAGCCGACTGGGATGAAACCTGCAGGCTGGGGAGAGGGCCCCTCCCCCTCCCCTCATTTTTTCCCCCAGAAGAACTCCAAGACTAAAACCATCCTTATTTGTTGCTGAGTTGCTCGTCGACATATAAGAAAAGGTGAGTAAAAAGAAAAGAAGATGCAAAAGAAAAGAGAAAGTTGGCTTCCAGAATTTTATTTCAAGAGGCAGTTATGCGAATTCATTTTTAGCCGGGGCGGGAAGGATGAGAGAAAACAAACTAGTCTGGCTGCAGAGCTTTTTCGACTTTGCAGAGGTCTTTATATTGACGGATCCACGGTCCCGGTGTAGCGCCGCTAGCTGAGAAGTTTATACTCAATTTTTCAGTTTTGACTTTTCTAACTGTTCTTATTTTCAATATTGCGTATTTGTTGTCGCCAGTAGGGTTATTGTTGTTTTAAGTGTCCGGCATAGTAAGCACCAATTACTTTTCTTTTTAAAAAGACACTCAATTTACTTGATAGATGCTTCTTTTGCAAAAATCAACGTCGAATCGAACCTCTGCATCGCAGAGTTTAAACATTCAAAGTTGCTAGCTTCCGCTGCTTTCACCATCACTTTTTTCATGGTACTCTGAAGTGAGTTATCATTCCTACAGCCTTTCTTTAGAAATACTACACTAGTATTTTTTTTAATGTTTCTTCGGTGGCAGTGTATCCAAGTAAAAGCAATTCAGACAGGTTGAAGATTTCTGTATTTTCAAATAATTGTTAAGCTAGTAATGGCTTGATTACTCCGTCGTAATCTTGGGCTTTACAAAAGAAAAAAAGTTCAAACTCTATTTTCATGTGTTTTCATCCTTTGGGCAATGCAGAAGGCATTTTAACCCGAACTCCTTTCTTCCTTTCTTTCTCTCTCTCTCTAATATCCCGTAACTTCTTTTGCATTTTATTGAATACATTAAAGCAAATAACTGGGACAATCTGTTTAAATGTGGGAAGAAGAGAGAAATGGACATTTTGAGGTACTGTTAAAGAAAAAAAAACAGTGATACTTAAACTCCAAAGACTTTAGTTAAGAAGTGTGAAAGTGTTAAAAGTGAAGTCCTTCTGGAGGAAAATCTCTTGTCATTTAAAAATTCATCAGTTGCTTAAGAGGAGAACCTCGAATTTCATTCGACTAAAGAGATTTCACTTACCTAGTTGCATGTAATTTATGAAACCGTTAGTTTAAAACAGCATCGCAGTGCGATGGATTACACTCAAGATCAAGTTGGAGGTGATTCACGATGTCGGTTCTTGGTCAATCTGATGACTTCAAAGGACTATTACTTTTAATCACCAACTTGCTGCTGTTTTATTAATAGAGCTGAAAAACGTTTAAGAACTCCATAGTCTCCCCTAACCCCCAATTTTGCAGTCCTACAGAAGCTATTCCAAAGCAGTGGGGTACGCCGGCTTTCTGATTTCTAGTCTGATAGAACATTGCTGATGCTCCATTCTCAGCCTCCGCAACCCCGCCCGGGCTGTGAGGCTCATCTGCTCGCCCACATTTGGGGTAAAGGAAAAGTAGGTGGGGCAGGCCCAGGAGACAGGCGTGAGATGGGGGTCGCAGGAGGCGGCACACACCTCCGTCAACAGTCAGCTCCTTTTGCCCAGGCTGGAAATGGTTTTAACAGGCGGTAAAATTTCATCTTGCGGTGTCAAATTGGGGTCATTTTGGGGTTAGAGTTCTCAGTGTCCGAGAGGAGCTGTCCAGCTGCGTGGGGACTCATTAACTGCAAAAGATCTGTTTCAGTAAAAACAATTCAAAGACAATCAGAAGGCTAAAGACCCTCTACAAATCGCATTTTACAAGTGCCCTAGAACAAATATGTATGCTGAAATCTATTTCTTCAGAATCCCAAGCCGGCTACTTAGCTCTGGAGTGGGGATGGAGGCACTGGATAAAAGAGAGGTGAAAGGGAGGGGACCTGATCGCGTAGGGGCTAATGGAAGGGGGAATCCGGGCTTTCAAATTTAAGGGTCTGTTTTTAATCACCCCTTTCTTATTGGAGCATCCCCAAGACTTCTGAGAACTGCTTCTTTTCTACTTTTCTTTCTTTCTTGTTTCAACATGGAATACTATTATAGGCAACATTTAAGATTTTAAAAGAGTAATTGAATCTCACTATAGTTTCTTTATTTAAAAGGCATTGGCTTTATGGAGAGTAACTTGAAATGAGCATTTATGAAACTACACTCTATTTTAGGTGAATTTGCCCATCTTCCTTAAGAAGCTTCTGTGCCTGTTTCTTTTCACTATTTTTTTCTCTAGAAAGTTATAGGTCCTAAGCACAGATAACTCCAAATTCTTCAGAACTGTGAGGTCTGAAGTGTTAATCTGTGTATTAAAATCATGGGTTTAAATCCTTTTTGTCTTCTTACAACATTTAGAACAATTGATGCCTTGCTAGAGGAGCAAATAAATCCAACCTTAATCTTATTTATAACTTTAGTTAATGTTTTGAATTGGAGCATTTTGGATTAAGCAGGGCCCCACCACCACCAGCACCAGCACCATAAGGTTAATTTTTATTTGTGGAGGTTCTGTTGGCTGGTTTAGATGAAAGATGTTAATTACTACTTTGATTCAAAAAATTTCTTCAGGTGAAAGGAAAATGCAATTAAAAAATGAGAAGCTAGATGTGAGATGCCTGGGGTTTTAGAATAAAACCAAGCCAATATTTTAAAGTAAAATATAATTTGAAAGAAGTTTTCTTTCTTGCATTGCTGACCTGAGCAAGTAAAAAGAATCAAAATATTTTATTCTTCCATTCTCTCTTTGGACTCCACCTTATCGCTAGGTCTTCTCTCTGCATCTGCTTCACTGTTCTTTGGGTTCTGAATGCAACAGTGAATTTTTGTAGCCCAGCTCTTTTCTCCACGCCTCCCAGAGTGTAAATTGTTATTCAAGGAGTTTGACTGCGGCCCTGCAGAAACAGTCCTGAACCGAGCATTGCTGGGACAAAGGCAGAAGGGCTCTCTTCTGCTCCGACCTGCTGGCTGACAGTTGGAATTTTTGATATATATTTTATTTGGTGTTTCCAATATGTGTTTGCCTCTCCCTCCCCACCTCCTTGCAGCCATCTATTACTTTAAAAACATCTCTTCTCTATAAACCTCAGCTCATCCTTGTGAACTGTTTTTGACCTTGCCATCGGTGTAACCAGCAGCTCTGAAAGTTGACTAGGAAGAATTCCACCCGCTTTCTTACCTGTCAACTTTGCTCAGTCTCTTCCTAGCTGGGATCAAGAAAGGGAAGCGGACTTTTTGTCTTTGTTTTTTGGTCCTTTTCCCATTTAGGCTTTCTATCATAGCTTTCCCTCCTCCATTAATAACAATAAAGCACCCCACAATTTATCTTATTAAATAAGATGGGATGGAATCATCGTACTTTCTTTCCTTTTGCCCTGTTATTTCTTATTTCTTCCAGTTTTAGCTGCTTCACTGTCTCCCAGGAGGAGAGTATTTCAATAAATAGCCCTCTAGCGCTATCTGGCGGGGCTCCAAGCGCGACGTGCGCTCGCTCTCGCTGTCTCTGGCTCCTTCCCACTCTCTCTTCCCTCCTCTTTACCTTCCTCTTATTCTTCCTCTCTCCTCTTTCTCTTGTCTCTTTCGCAATCTTGATCCTATCCTCTTTTCTCTCTTCCTGATGCCCCCCTTTCTAGCTCCTACCCTCACGTGCAGCGCAGGCGGCTGGAACGACCCGGTCAGAGGCAGATACCCCCGGCTCCAGGTGACGCTCCGGCGAGGGAGCTCTTCTAGGACTCCCACCTTCACCCAATGTGGCTCACACACGTCCTTTGCCTTTGATTCGCATCTTAAAGTTGTTTAATCGTTGCTTAAGCCTCAACGTCTCAGCTGGCGGTGGTCTGGAGGGGCGTGAAGTTTGAAGGAAAGAAATCAGACACTGGAATCCCGGCTAGTGGAGACCAGCTAAGTTTTAGGTCAGGAGGCCGAGCCTCAGTGCGAGTTTGAGGAAGGGTCGGGGCTTCGCGGGGGTGGGAACGGCCATTTGGGAGAGGGCTGGAGTCCCGGCGCCAGCGGCCCCCGCCCGCCGGACCCCTACAGCACAATGGACTGGTCCCGTTCGTATCCTGGGCCTGTCTTGGATTTTTAAGTTATTATTATTAAACTAGCTTTATTCTCCCTCTCGCACCACTACTACCACACCAAATTTGGAGAGGAGCGGGAAAGAAAAGTAGGAGCTCACTAGAAACCCCACAGGGCAAATAAGAGAAAGCCAGCAGTGTCAGCAGGAACGCACGCTGGAGGGTGCAGTACTCATCAACATCCTCCCTCCTTTCTCGAAGAAATTTGTCTTCTTTCTTATTTGTGGCTTTTTTTTTTTTAACAGTAGCCTGTAAACCCTCAGCGGTTTGTAGAGAGCGGTCACAGGGGGTAGGGGGTGGGGCGGAAGGAGAGAGTCAATTCCGACTGGGTGCTTTAAATTAAAATCCCCCCCCCCACACACACACTACATATCCTGAACCTTAGAGAAATCTCCAATACTTCCTTTGAGCAAATCTCATCCATCTAATCCTTGAAACAGAGGAAAGGATCTAGGGTCTGGGGGAGGGTTACATTCACTTAACTTTATGATTGCATTTTCCAAAATCTAGTCTTGACCCTGCAAAGTAAAAGTGAGGACCATATCCCCAATTCAGACCCAGTCAGTGGCTACTTGAAGTGAGGGGGACCTCAGCCTGCAATGTCTGATCACACAAAGACCTCTTACCAATTCAGAAATCCTCCCCCTCCCCATAATCTGAAAAAATTGAATAGAAAGGGTGGAGGATGACACAATCGTAGGTTCTGTTCTTCAAGAATTGCCCCCCTCCCACCCTCACACCAAAGGAAGAAAACACAGTTTAGGTGTAATTAATTGAGGGCTGTTATTAGGTCATCATTAGCCAAGGTGCAAATAATTGCAGCCCATTTTTACTTAAAATTGACCAGCCCCAGAGTGATAGATCGATTTGGAGTATAAAAATGATGTATCAAAACATCAATGTCGATTATTTGAAATATTGTAGTCGAATTTTTTTATTGCTTCATCGGTTAAGTGTCTGAAAGTGCAGTGTTCAAACATATATTTATGTTGTCAATACTGTCAGAACTGTCAGTTTTAGTATACCGGATTTGTACTACATTTTGAATTTACTCATTTACATAAAATGCCCACCCTAGGATTCCCCCACCCCTACCCCATCTCTCTTTCCTCTCATCTCTGGAAAATCCGTGTCAGTTTCTTCAAAGGATTCAGCAATCTGTGCCACAGCTAAAGTGTGCACTGCCTCTTTTACTCAATTTTCCACTTCGGATTACATGTCTTTTTCACCATTTCTAACTTTCAAAGGGAGTCTTCCTCCCTTCTTCCCAACTCTGCCTATTCCAACCTTTTCTCCAAAATAGTATTGTAGCACTTGGAAAGCTTCAGGTTTAAATATCCACATCTCAGCTCCAAATAAACCGTTTAGGTAGAAAACGAAAAAACTGGACTTCACTGTACCTCCTTGGCTGCTCTCTTGTAAACCGGGTTTCACTGGGCACAGGATCTCACACGTGTTAGGGTCCATCATCAAATTACCTGAAGAATTCAGATCTTCCAGGGAAATCTATTTGGAAATAGACGTTTTCTTTTTCCTTAAAAGCTGTGATAAGAGAAAAAGAAACAATACATATAAATGATCGGCACGTTTTACCTTTAAAAGCTTTTGAACTCAATCGAAAGACACAAGTTGGAAGCAGAATTGACAGTTTTAATTCTACCCATTTTCACCTGGCACGTCAGATCAGAGGCAATCATTATTTTATGGGGGGTAGATGGGGAAGTCAGATAGAAAGCTTGCATCCACTGAAGTCTCTATCATAAAAAAATCACAGAGAAATTAAAGACATTTATTGAAACGCAAACATTCTCTCCACATTCTCAGTCTAGACCAATTGAAATTTATAAATTCACGTTCTGCCTAATTTTATGCTTTTTTTTTTTCTAGGATTCCCTCCAAGACTGATAGGAAAGAGGGCCACTTCTGGACTAGTTGTGAGGATGTTTCTTTCTATAACACTGAAGCACTTTTTATAAACCTTTTAATGTATTTAAATAAATCTATTTGGACATTAAGAGAAGCTATACATACAAAGATAGCCTGGCTTTATGCCGGCAATCCCAGCATTAGGGAAAAAAAAAATCTAACTGAGAAGCTTTTTTCCATAACTAACCATGGCCAAAAAAAAAGAGAGAAAGCAATAGAAAGTTTCCTGCGTGCATCTACATGTCTTCGTGTGCACGTTTATAAACATCTTCCAGTCCGTGTTTGAGTGTTACCTCCCTCCTGCCATACACTCGAAGGCAGAGGCGTCGAGGGATCGCCCCCAGAGAGCTGTGTTTACTTAGTTTTTTTTTTAAAATCTCTCCGCCATGTATGACAAGTGTTACTTTAAGAAATTCATCAACCTTCTACAGATACTTCTAGTTTTACTGTAATGATCTGCAGAAGAGAACTGCCATCACTTTCTCACATCCCAAGGTGTTGCAGGGACTGAAGAGAAAGGGGAGAGCAGCTGAAACGCTTAATTACAGCGGGGGAGGAGGGGCGCGAGGCCGGACCGAGGGAGGGGGCGTAAGGAAGGTCTTTCCTTGGCCAGGTAGTACCTGGAGAAAGCTGCGAATCCTCATCGCGAATATTTGGGAAAGATATGGTTGCCTTTTTTTTTTTGGTAATGCCTTTGGGGAGAAGTGATACTTTTGTGTAACAATTAGCTCAGACAATAAAAATAATTGGAAAATCAGTTGGAATTTCTGAGTTTTTAATTACGTTTAATTTTGTGCTAAGCCGTAAAATTACGAATGCCCCTCAATTAAACACTCTCCTCTTGTAAAGCGTTTAACAACAATTATTCCTTAATCAGCCTGAATGTGAGTCACAAATGATGCTTTTCCACATCAAAGGGACGTCCTTCGACGTTACCTTTTAGTCATAAGTAAGAGGATTAATTCCTATAATTAGAGGGATAAATATGTGCATAAATACATCTCTCACTCACTCCTTTAAAAAAACAAAACAAAACAAAAAACCCAACACTTTCACTCTGTGTGAGACATAAGACGTGGCCGGCTCTGGTAGGGTAAGTGTTTTTAATTGTCAGCCTCGGCCCGACACCCCTTTGCTGGCGGGCGAATCGAAACGAGGAGAAGCAGGCGCGAAGCACAGAGCCCCAGAGGGACACACACGCGCGCACACGTGTACACAGAAATGTACACACGGGTCAGGATGGAGGTCCAATACTCGCGGACCCAAGACCCCCGCCAATTCCAATGTGATGACCCCAAGACAACAACCCACCCCCCAACCCTGGGCCCTGATCTGCGCTGCAAGAGAGTTCTCTTCCTGTCGGTCCACTGGGCCTGGAGAGCGGGGTCCCTGCCCTAAGCCGAAGCTCCGACTCTTCAGGCTACAAATAAAAATTGAGCATGACCTTTTAAAACTCCTGTGTGAATATCTCATTTACCTAATGACTTTATGTCACCTAGGAAGAAGGTCAATTTCCTCTTAACCTTTCCCCCGCTGCTGCAGTAAGCATTCTTCCCTAATCAATGGTGGCTGGAATAATCAATTCCCATTTTATGATCGCTGACTAACTCAATCTCTGGGCGGGGTGTGAGCGCGGCGGGGCTCGCTCAGGCCGGGACAGAGGTCTCTCTGGGTCCACCCAGCTCCGCCCGGCGCCAAGGGAAGCTGCTCGTTCTTCCGTCGAGTTCAGGGACCTTGGCAAACTTCCCTCCTCCAACCGCCGGCGTGACTTCTGAGTTGTCACTAATCCGAACCTGATATTCACCAGAGCTCCTTCGGTCACCGACAACGCTCCCCGCTGCTGCTAGGCCTCCCACCCGCCCCTCTTCGGCATGTTTTCATTTCTGAGTCTGTAGGCAGGGATTGCCCCGACCCAAAGGAGTGTGTGTGTGTGTGTCTGTGTGTGTGTCTGTGTGTGTGTCTGTGTGTGTGGTGTGTTTTAGTTTCATTTACATTTTAAAATTATTTTTGCCTTCTTCAGCGAGGATCTCTCAGCTCTTTCACTCTGTCTCAGCCGGCTCACTTTGCATAAACAAAGCAACAACAGAAGCTCAGAGTGGGTGGATTCGTGTGGAAATGAAGTCAACTGGCAGAGTTCTCTCACTTTTCCTATCTTTTTTTTCTTTCCCCTCCTCCCTCTTCCATCTTTCCTTTCTCTTCTCTTCCCTTCCTTCTCCTCCATCTCCCCCCACAGTACTCAGTTACTCTAAAAGATAGGTTATTACATGCCACTTTATCCCTATTTCCAGTTCCGGGGGAAATTACCAGGAAAATTACTAAGTCAAAGCTAATTTGAAAGTGACTTTGGGTAAGGTTCTACATTCTTGATCTTTCCAGGGCCTAATATGATCCCCTTTCACCTCTCAATCTGTCATAAAGTAGAAGTTGGCTTTGACCCACACAAGGCTTATTTGTAGAAAGGGCTCTCTTAACACTGGTTCACCACCCATCACTGGAATTTCTTTGCTCTTAGTCTGCTCTAACCCCATTTTCACTTACTACCAAGACAGAATGGAACTGCTGATGATTATCAAGCAATCAAAAAAAGGCAAGAAATCACTTTTCTTGGAAAAGATGTCCTACATTTAGTTGTTTTGTTTTTGTTTTTGTTTTTGTTTTTCAGATTTCTTATGATTAACTGGCTAGTTAAAACCCAGCCCCAAATGGAAATTTTTCTCCTGAGAGTGTTCTCTCAGGTCATGTTGATGGGCTTTGAAGAGGTAATTAAAATGCCCTCTTTTAAAACTCATTGCACCTCATTCCTCACAGGCAGATATTATGTTACAATTGAGAAGTCTGTCAAGCAATCAAAACAAAAATGTAAATATTCTACCTTAGAAGGTGGAATAAAGATAAATTGCTTACTCTGATGTAAAAAACAAACTAGAAAGGCCTCTGAGTTCAAGGTGAAGCATTTCTGAGTCAAAACACTCCCTGTTCACCCACAGCAGCCTCCTTAGGTCCTGTAAGTAATAGAGATGGCTGACAACTCACCACTCCAGCCTGTCAGAAACTCCACGTTCCTTCCATTCTTGCCTTGGGCCTGAAGGCTCTAGAATTGTGACCTCTGAGAGGCAGTTGGAACAGGCCAGGTGCAGGATCTGACCTGGGATGGGGCCAGGCCAAGTTCCCCGTATTTTTATTTCCCTCCTTGCCTCATACCAGGAAGTAATTTGCAACTCTAGTTGAATTGGATTCTGGATTTAAATGGGTGTTGAGGGTTGGTGCAGCCGAGTTAACAGTTTATAACAGCCTGGCTTTTAGAGAATTTGTTTCATATTCCCAACAACTGAATTGCAGACGTTCCGGGACTGCAACCTGTTTGTAAGTCATGAAGCACTTGTGCGGGAAGAGTTCCCCATCGCTAGGAGCCCTGAGTGGGACTTTTATCTCTATTCGACAGAGGAGCAGACAGATTGGGGATGGGCCCCTTGACCTCAGATAATTAGCACAGTCTTCCTTCTTAAGCAAATTTAATTCTCACACAAGGAGTAATTAACCACCTCTGACTACTCACTCACTCTATGAGAATTTCCTTTTCTTATCTTAAGGGCCCTTGCAGGGATATTGAATAATATGTTAAACATTAGTTTTTAGTTTCACTTCAATTACACATCTTGCATTCTGCTCACTCCTTCCACAGTCGATGGAACACACTTAGCATAGTCTTAGGCTGTGTTCTAATTCTAGCATTTCAACTAGGAAATCCAATCGTCAGTTTACTTTCCTCTCCAGTCCCCACGCCACACACTAGACTACTCATTGGACGAGGAAAATTCTTTAATTGTGCTTAATTTGGAGAACGTGTCAGAAGAAATACATTTTTTTAATAATCAAAAATCTTATTCTCTCCCTTTGACTTTCTAACAACTTTGTCCCTAGCATGTCTCACTGAGGGTTATAAGTTAAAATTACATGTCAGGATATAAACCATGAGTACAGGAATAGGAAGAAGGACCACACAGACCACTAGCTTTTCAAGGGTGACTGAGGTCTCTGCAAGGCTGATATTCTAAATGGAAAGACATCTCTTTCAAGCATCTCTAAGGGATAGAGTTGAATTAGATCACTTCCAATGTGCTTTCTAATCCTGAAAGGACAAAAAGGAACTCCTCAGCTGAGGAGCAGTCAGGAGCTCAGTCTTTGGAGTCTGACAGGAAGGGGATGAATCTTGGTTCAGTCTTAAGCTAACTGTGTAATCTCAAGAAATTTAACCTCTTTGAATCTCAGTAACCTCAGGTACAAAATCAGGATTTTGTACTTAATATTACTGGATATCTGCTGTTAGCCCCTCCAGACCCACGAGTTACTTCTCTCACCTGGCTCTGTGATCCTGGAGGCGCATATGGATGGTTTCAGACTGTTACCTTGGCCTTTGCTTCCTGTTGGGTTTGCTCAGAATGGGTAGAGTGAGGTCTGAGTTTCGATTTCCAGGGTGGGCTGGCTGCATCTCAGCCAAGGCTCAAGCAGCCCTCTTCACAGACCTCTCTCTCTGGATTCAGGTAACCACTTCCCTCTCCATTTCCAGCCTTGGTACACTGCACCATCCCTTGTGGTTTCCTAACACTTTGCTCACACCTTTTCAATATAGTTTCTTTATAAAGTCCTCCTCAAATTACCCAATTTGATACGCACCATCTGTTTCCTGCTGGACCCTGACTGATATACCTAATAAACTTGTTTGGAAGATTAAAATTAAATGAGATAATGTGTATATATATAGCACAAACCACAATGCCTTACATATAGTAAAAGCTTAATAAATAGAACTTTCAGTTTTCTTTTTACAGTTATTATCTGCAGCCCCCTCATTTTATTTATGAGGAAAAGGAGGCCCCAAGTGGTTAAAGTACTAATTCAAAGTCTAATTAACTCAAGACAGTAACAACCGGGGACCAAGTCCCCGGACTATCAGCTCTCAGTTCATTGCTCTTTCTACAGCAGCTTGTTGAGCAAAACAGATGGGGGAGGAGGGAAATCCTTTTGTCATAGATGTTGGAAAAAAGGTTAGATGGGTTATAGGTAGAGGTGCAGGAGGTGAAAAGCATCTTTCCACATAGCATTGGATTTGTCTCTGCTAAATTATTACTGAAATAAAGTATGATGCTGTGCGTTGAAATCCAGTGATTTCACTAAAACTGGAATAGGTATGTTACAGGAGGAGCAATGTATGATTGACAGGTTAAAAACAAATTTACAAACACATAATTGGAAGTTTTACCAGGAGGCATCATTATGTTTCTAAGACCTGTAGGGTATACCAGAATTAATTTTTAAAGAAAGGCTGATTTTGGGATTAGCAGTGCTCTTTGAGTATGAACTTTATAATGCTTTAATATTGTACTGTGCTATGAACTCACGTGCACCCAGGACACCAAATTCTGGCCCGCAGACACTCTACAACTTGATTATAGTAACAACGTGATGGAAATCATTCAATGATTAATTCCTTCTTTCTTTCAATTATTCAGATAAGTATTTATTGTGCTTGTATATTCTCCAAAAAACTCTTCTGGGCATTAACATTTAAAGATTAATTAAATATATTCTCTACTTCAATGGGTTCATATAGTGAAAGGTAGGTGTATCAACAGATTTTGGCATGGACAAATGTAAAAATATGCCTACGCTACTGTAGGAGCCTTGAAGAGGCTAAGTGGAGTAGAGCACATTGAGAGAAAGGAGCTTTCCTCGGTCACAATTGAGTCTTAGCAAACAGAAGTTTGTCTCAGTCCAATTACATGCTATCCTTCCAGATCCTTCCAAATTATTGATGATATCATTTATTAATATTTACTTCTTACTAATATAAATATTAGTAACAAAACCAAAAAACATATGTAATATTGTATTACACTTTACTCTGGCAGGTTGGCCAAAGGATATACGAAGTATATGTGGAAACTTAGAAAAATTTAAATAATATTTCTCTGGGTGAGTAGTGTATGACAGAAGAGGGATACATTTAAAAGGTGATATTTTCCACAGACTTCTTAGGAAATGTTACCTTCACAGAAGAGTGTTTAAATGTACTTTGCCAATTAGGCCCTATTTATGTAATGAGTTAGGTCAGACTTCTTTGAGGTATAAACATACACTTTGAAAAATGAGTTGGAATCTATGCATGGAGAAGAAACACACAAGGAAGGCCATTTATTCCAGAACCCAAGATGCATTCATACAATTGGATAGACTAATAAATGCAACACAACTTAAAACAGGTTGTTTCTACATGTTCACCTCAAAATTGGTCACTGCATCTCAATTTTAATGGGTAAACATGATGCCTAAGCACAATTTACTTTACCACTGTACGCCAGAAATTGACACAACATTGTAAACTGACTGTACTTCAATAAAAATAAATTAAAAAAATGACTCTTCTACCCATTTTCTGGGGTGAATCCTTCTTTTGACAATAACTGATTTGCTCCTCTAATCCCCCGTCCCTTTCTCTTCCCTGCCTTTTCCTCTCATTTCCTACTTTTCTCCTTTCTACGGTAAAGCTGCTGAATACTTGTGTCTCTTTTTGAAGTCCAAACTAAAAACATGTAACTCTGCTTGATTCTCCTTCAAGCTGTTTTTATCTACTGACCCTGATCAACTTCATTTAGTTTACTCTTTTTTTCAGTCCACCCAACATTAAAATGAATTCCTGTTCACATTATGTGTGTGTGTGTACCTATGTATGTCCATATGTATATATATCTCCATTTTAGCATCTACAATTACAGCTACACTTGGAACTTAAACTTACTTTCAAGATCTCAAGGGTAGAGATTTGCTTTTATTTCCTATCAAATCTTTATCCTCTATTGAAACAAACAAGTTTGGCTTCATTATGACCCTCATTGTGACTTCTGGTTTCTTGATCATTTTCTGCCACTCAGTTAGTCACATCTTGATTTACTTGCTCCTCCACTCAGTTTAAGCACTAAGAAATCTTTAAAAATTTATCTTAATTTTTTATGTTAAAAAGTAGTATATACTCATTAAAGATGATTTGACAATGTGGAAAAATGGGTAAAAGAAAAAAATCACCCACAGACAAAAGTATCCAAACATAGTCGCTGTCAAATTTTTATTATATTTCTTTGCATTTCTTTCTATACATGGTTCCTTTTATGTAGTTGTAATTGTACTTTGTATTAAATTGTATCCTGGTAAAGCTTTCAGGTTTTGTGTGACCATCAATCTAGGTGTCATCAATTAAATTAAGTATCATGATTCATTTTCCATTACACTATTATTGGGCACTAATGTTTTTTCATTTTTTATGTATAATTCTGTAATGAGCATTTTTGTGCATAAAGGCTTTTTAAAATTCAGGAATATTTTCTTAGAATGGATTCCTGGACATAGATTGAAGGGTGTGAGTGTATTTAAAGTTAAAATCCAAAGCCTGTAGTCCTCTTTGAACTTTTTGTCATGACCTCCATGACGATCTCCATCTTAATCATTTTCTGTTTCTCTGGCTGGATAACCAACTTTGGAGGGAAGAAGTCCTGAATACATACACTTCATACTTGTGGTCTGAATGTCAGTTGGCTTCCTGAAGCTAAGATTATTCTTATTAGAAAAACAAAGAGTTTATACTGTATAGCACAGGAAACCATATTCAATATCTTGTAGCAACTTATGGTGAAGGAGAATATGAGAAGGAATGCATGTATGTGACTGAAATATTGTGCTGTACGCCAGAAATTGACACAACATTGTAAACTGACTGTACTTCAATAAAAATAAATTAAAAAAATGACTCTTCTACCCATTTTCTGGGGTGAATCCTTCTTTTGACAATAACTGATTTGCTCCTCTAATCCCCCGTCCCTTTCTCTTCCCTGCATTTTCCTCTCATTTCCTACTTTTCTCCTTTCTACAAACTACTCAGAAGCCCCAGAGTACTCTCACCCCTCTCATTCTCAAATGATTTCACTTCCTCCTTCACCAAAACTGAGAATTTCTGGTATGAGCTTTGTAATACTCTCTCTTTTCGGTTATTTCCTATTTGATTGGTCATAACACCACTCTGCTTTTAAGAAAGACCACTTAGTGTCGCTTTACTTTTATGTTTAGTGAAATATTTGTGACTTACAAAAGCATATATGTAACATATTTGGCTGTTACAAAGTA